TATGTATGTATGTATGTATGTATGTATGTATGTATGTATGTATGTATGTATGTAGTATTCAGCTTTGTTCGGGTATTTTCCCACGTCATTGTATATATATATTTGTTTTCTGAGGTTTTTGCGGGTATTTGTATGTGGATCTTTGGTTATTCAGGTTTTCTCCCGCGTAAAATTGGAAATATCTAGGCGACGTTTCGATGAAGTCTCATTCATCATCTTCAGGCTTGTGTCTTCAGCTTTGTGCTTCTCGGAGTAATGTGAGCTTGCAGCTGTTTCTTCCTTTTAGCTGCTAGTGGGGGTGTGACTTGATTGGGTGGTGGTGGGGGGATTGGGGGTGGTGGTGGTGGGGGATATATATATATATATATCCAATCTTTTGGATATGACAATATCCAATATATATATATTGTCATATCCAAAAGATTTACATGGGATGCTCCTTATCAGAATCAGTCATGGTTTCACAGGGAGGCACATACCTATAAAAACACCTAGCTTTATGTCAGCAGTGTGTGTGTATACTCACCTAAAGAAAACATTTTAAAATAACCATTTTCTTTGTGTTTGGAAAAATCATTATGTAAATCTAACATGGATATGCTTTGTCATGTACCGAGAAGCCTCAGCTCCGGTTAGCCAGGAGGAAGAGTCAATATAAATCATAACAGTCTTACCTCTTCAACAAGCTGCAGCATACGACGGGTGCTTTCGAGGGACTAATGCAGAAAAGAAACAAAAGAATGTTAAGACTAACAAAATGTTTTCAATTAGATATTGGTAAGACCAAGCACATTGGTCAAATACTCCATCCTGCACAGACCATTAACAATTTGTACCTATCTGGGCTCAGGAACATTTGCCATTGATAATAAATTCTGCTTTTTCGGGGATAGGATCTATGTTTTGGAACAAAGACCATCCATGTTATCATTTAGGAGCAATCTAGAAATTTATTTAGTACTCATGTTTTAATTTTAGGAATTTTTCTTTTTTATATCCTTTTATTATGCTTTTACGATCGTTTTTATTAGAAGCCCTTAGAACCACTAAGGTTGAGGGCAGACAATACATTTCTTAAATACATAAAAATGAGAAGATAAAATCAATAGTATTATGTTTATCTCCTGTTTGTAGAAAAGATCCAATTTATTATGTTTAAATTATATCTCCCCTGCAAGGAGGTTAGGATTTATTCTCAGAGCAACCGCGTAATATAGAGTAATCTAAGAATAATTGATCTAAGATTGCATAAACTATGATTGCTTCACATATGGCTGAATGTCAAAAATTATTCTTGGACAAATGTTAAGTATGAAAGGCAGAAAGAAACTCAAATCACATTTCTTCAATTTTGGGGAAAACACTGCATTACAACCTCGTTTATTTATTTAAGAATCTATATCTCATCTTATTGATGGTGGATGGAGTTTATTTTGTTTATACCTGCTGCTATCCACAGATTCTCAGTAGCTAACAATAAACATATGGCAATCGATAGTAAAAATACAATAGAAGAACTATCAAGTGGTTAGCAGCACTGAGGGTTTGAAACACATGATTAATCCACCATAGCTATTTTATACAACTAATGTAGGAAACCCTTTTGCATTACTACTCTTTTGCATTTTAGTATTTAATGATTATGGGCCTCACAGTTTAAGAATTGATATGATAGTATAGCTAGGCCATGTGTAACAGACAGATTGGATGCCAAATTACGATTTTAATATAGATTTTATCTGTTATTTATTATTTTATTCTAGAATTTTGAACTGGATATTCCTTGAGTGTTTTTATTTGATCTGGTCTCTGGTCTTTGACTGAAATAAACTTGATTTGATTTGATTTGAATAGAAGAACAGCATAACATTCATAAGAAAGTTAACACGGTAAAATAAAGTTATACAGTAATAACAATGGTGTCATTTCATTCTCCAGATGCTCTCTGCACAATTCACTTTTTAAAATATACAGAAAACCAATTGCAGAAGGCAATCTGATTTCTAACAGAAAGCTATTCAATTTTCTCACTTGAAATAATGTTCCAGGTACCAAATAATATTGTAGATGTTTACAGATAAATCAATAGCTAGCAGAAGCATAAGGAGAACTTTGCTGCATCATATCAAAGGTCTCTTTAGTCTTTAATTTAATGTACCCTGTTAGATTCCTAGAGGAAGATGATAAATATTAGTTTTCTGCATATAAATCTCTGATCTTTAGTAATACCTCCTATAAACATAATAGAACTTTTATTCTATTTGTCACTGCACAAAAGGCTATGTATGAATAATACCAAGGCATTCTTTTATCTTCAGTGAAAGCTTTGTGATCCAGTTATGGCATATAGATATGCCTTTCTCTTGGGCAGTATTCCTGCTAGAATTATTTTGCTATAATGAGCTTTTCCTTGTAGGTCAAAGTGCTATCCACCACTCCAACTATACTAGTGTTCTCCTTATTATTTGTACTGAGGCAGGTTAAGGAAAACAAGTGGAAGATTCCCCCAGGTTTGCTTCCTTCTCTTTCCTCCAAATATCCCCAGCTGAAGAACTTCCACCCACCACATTCCTTAATTGGAATAGAGTTCGATGAATAGAAAAGAAGGTACAAAAGAAATGTTAGATTTCTTGGCTTAGCCATCTGCCCAAAGCTGTCCCAGGCTTTGCCCAAACTCCCAATAACAACAGCAATAGCACTTATATATCACTTCATAGTGCTTTCCAGCCCCCTCTAAGCAGCTTACAGAATCAGCCTATTGGCCCCAACAATCTGGGTCCTCATTTTACCAACCTCAGAAGGATGGAAGGCTGAGTCAACCTTGAACCAGGTGAGAATCAAACTGCTGGCAGTCGGCAGAATTATCCTGCAATACTGCATTCTAACTACTGTGCCAGCTCTATCCCTAAAGAGATCACAGGAATAAAGAGGGAATCAGCTCTACCCATCAGGTTTTGGATCCCAAGGTATTGATCAGATGCCAAATCTGAAAGGGTTGTCTAAAAAAAAGCCTGTGTTTGGCTCTTTCAGCTTCACCTGCCTCCTTTCCCAGCCTAAGGATCAGCTCAGAATTAGAAACTGAAGGCCCTTAACTACCCATTATGGGTAGTTAGGAGAAGATATTATTTCATATTCCACCCTTCAACCGTCAAAGCCCTATCAGTTGTTTCTTGGGCTACTTTCAAACAAGGTTAGCACTTTTTGGGGAAAAAAAAGAATTAAAATCATGTTTAAATTAACCCAGCCAATTGATGATAAGTAGGAGAGGCCTGTTATTTGTTGGTTGGGCTTATGCTTCTTTCAAAAGGAGAGGCCAGCTTGGAGAAATAGGAAATGGGGAAGAGGTTGGATCTCTTTACCCACTGCCCCATAGGACACTGTCCAAGGACTGCAGGGGCAAGAAAAAAAGGCCTAACATGGCCAATAGTTAGTAAGCTGATCCCACCCCCTTAGCCACACCCTGATTGAAACACCAACCTAAGCTAGTTGGTGAAGCCTATCAGAATAAAACCGCTGCACATTTTTGCCCGCTTGAGGGGGGAAATGCTACTTTAGAGCTAAAAAGCCAAGGATGATCTAAGGCTGCCTAAAGTAAGAATGGCAGCAGTAGGAGGGCGACCTGGCCGAAAAACCAGGTGATCCAAGCATGTTCATTATTTCATCAGGTGCAACTGGGGAAATCCCCTTCATTGCCCTTTGGGAAGAGATTAGCTTTAATAAGGACGTTTCAAGTTGCCTAGGGAGATTCTCAGTCATCCAGGTCACGGTTGCCCCAAAGGTGCTTTTATACAAGAGGCAACTGGACTTTCTGGTTTTTCTTTGAAGACATTTCTCTTCTCATCCAAGAAGCCTTCTTCAGCTTCTTGGACGAGAAGCAAAAATGTCTTCAAAGGAAAACCAGAAAGTCCAGTTGCCTCTTGTAAAAGCACCTTTGGGAAGTTTCAGGTTCTAACCCTTAGTCCAGTTCAAAGGCAACACATGAAAGGAAAGTAAACAAAACAGTATCCCCCAACTTCCTGTCTTTCAGAGGTGCTCATTTCCTTGTATTGCACTTATTTTTCTGTCCTTTCTTTTCCTTACCTCATCAGTCATCTGATCAGCCCGCTGCTGCATTTCTTCTAGCTCATTGCGCATATCAGCATCTTCTGCCATTGTGGCTGTGAGTGTGAGGCTCTCGCTTCGGGATCAATCGGTTCCTTTGCAAGCCTAGAGTGCAGAAGTTTTTTTTTAAAAAAAATATATATATAAGCATCATCATCATCATCATCATCATCATCATTTTGTGCCTTTCAGTCAGTGTGGACTCCTAGGTGCTGTTTAGACAAGCCCCTGCGGTTTTCTTGGCAAGGTTTTCTTTGGAAGTGGTTTGCCATTGCCTTCTTCCTAGGACTGAGGGAGAATGACTGTGTCAGGGCTCCGGCATCCACCCCCATTCAAATCATGAGTCTCTAGCCACATCTCTCAGAGTTTTTTTTAAAAAAAATTATTAGGAGTGAACATGCCGCCGGTACCCGCGTGCAGCTGACTCTGAGATACATCATTCATTTCACCCTTGACCCTGGTTTTCCCCCACCCCCTGGATGTATATTCTCCAATGGGATATATCCATAGCCGAGAGTCCTCAATCATGCTCTCCAGTAATAATCTTGCGCGCCAGAAGCTTCGGCCGCCTAGCAATTATCTATGAAAGCATTTAAGGAATGCACTATTTCCCCCACTCCCTTTCCGCTGGCAACTCTAAAAGACCAGAGAAATATTTTTGGGTTGACAGACTGGCCCAAGATCACCCAGCTGACTTTGTGCCCAAGATGGGACTAGAACTCATGGTTTCCCAGTTTCTAGCCTGGTGCCTTAACCACTAGAGGCGGTCCTTGGTTTACGAGCACAATTGAGCCCAAAGTTTCTGTTGTTTAGTGGCACATTTGTTAAGTGAGTTTTGCCTCATTCTACCAACTTTTTTTGGCCACAATTGTTAAGTGAATCACTGCAGTTGATAAGTTTATAAGACAGTTGTTAGGTTAACCTTCCCCATTGACTTTGCTTGTCCAAAGGTTGCAAAAGGGGATTATGTGACCTTGGGAAAAAAGCAACGGTCACAAGTATGAACCAATGGCCAAGCATCTTAATTTTGAATCATATGATCATGGGTCGACAAAGGTCGTAAGTGTGAAAAATCGTTATAAATCACTTTTTCAGTACCGTTGTAACTTTGAATGGTCATTAAATGAACTATGCAGGCATGATATTCCCCTCTGAAAAAAAATTCGGGGCGGGCCAAAGAGACCCCCCCCCCGCCGGCCAAGAAATCGCTGCCCAGCTCCCTTTTCCTGCCGCTCAGTGGCCTCCACTCGCACCGCCCGCCCGCCCAGGCTCCGCTCGCACCGCCCGCCCGGGCTCGGGCTCCGCTCGCACCGCCCGCTCGGGCTCCACTCGCACCACCCGCCCGGGCTCCGCTCAGGTATCCAGCTGGGGCTGTCAGGAGTTGCTACCACTGGCGCAGCTCCACGTGGCCAGTCCCGCGTTGCCTCGGGAAGGGAAAGGCAAAACCGGGCT